CCGACGCAGAGCCCCTAACCCGGCTGCTGGGGACACCGGGGGATTCAGTTACACACAAGTCACCCAGGAGGGAAAAACAGCAGCTGGTTCATCAGCAAGCACAGGTCGCACCAGGGAGGTGTCCCCTTTCCTCCACATCTCTGGTTTCCTCACAGGCATAATCCTTTCCCAATTAGCTTTTGAGGACCTGGGCACTAATTTAATTATTTTTTAAGTCCTGTCAGCAAAGCTAATGAGCCAAGGGACACGGGGCCCATGAGGCATCAGTGGCAGGTTCAAGTCACCAGGTGTTGTTTGCTTGACCACAGTGGGTTTAGCAGCGATTTTTCACATTTCATCTTAATCCAGCAGTTAGCTGTAAATCCCCCGTCCTTATTGAGGCCGTGCTTGCTCTCACCTCAGAGGAGAGATGCTTCGTTAAGCCTTGAAGCAGGATCTGAGGTGCTGGATCAGTAGGATTCATACCTAAAGAGGGCCAGGAGCCCTGTGTTGCAGGTCTCAAATGTGCCAGTTTTCAACTCCTAAGGAGACTCCAGTGCTCTGTGACAAGGCAAAAAGACTTTAAATACAACCAGGGTGTCTACTAAACAGGAGCAAACACACAGCTTCTAAAGCCTCAAAGCAGAAATATGCAAGTAATTCCCCATCCAACTCAGGAACATGGCTATAATCAGCGCACGCTGCCTTGTCTTTGGTCTTGCCAGAGAAAAGTCCTGTAAAACCCTCACACTACGTGGCAAAAAGCCACAAACATCTGTCACTCCCACTGCAAACACGTCCTTCGGTCCCCTGAAGATGCCAAACAGGTAGTTGTTCTGCTGATGCTGGAGCAATCTCCGTATCTTCCTGCCTACACTGAAACCCTCCATTAAGAGATATAGAGATGCTTGACCTGCATGCTATTTTAGTTCGTCTCCTGGATGACGGCAGCTTGGTGAGACAGGGAGATAATAATGTGGAAGCAAATGAGGAAATGCGCTGATATCAGACTGTGGTTTCCCTGCCGGCAGGCTCTCTGTACAACCCGCGTCGCTCACATAATGAGGTGCTACTTACAGCCAAAAATACAAGTGCACAGATCATCGGAATTATAAATCATAAAGCTTTGCATTTGGCAGGTTCCAAAATGTCACTATTCTGAAACACGGGGCCACCTTTCCCATTTACAGCAGCACTGAGCACATCCTCATGGCCTTTCAAATCTGTTGCACAAGCGCACATGGAACCGCCTTTACAGAGATGCCTTCGCAATTAGCGCCTCACACACAGCGTAAATCAGAGACAAAGCGACTCTCTGACAATGTAAACCGCCCTCTTTGCAGATGCACAAACCAAAAATTGGATTAATTTGGCAAAAATAATTCTTTGAATCTACAGTCAGCTTAGGAGTTTACTATCGCCGCTGCTTTTGGGTTGTTTTGTTGTTATCAGGTAACTCCCAGGAGCTGCTGCTGCCACCTCAGCAGCCCGCGCTGACGCCAGGCTCCCGGCCGGCAGACAGGACACCACGTTCCCTGCTGTCCTTTGTCACCTCCTCCTCCTCAGGCTCCCCACGTGCGGAAGGATTAAGCAGCATTAACTGCCACCACAGCTGAGACAAGAGCACTGGGGACACTCCTCCCAGATGCACCACGGTGGAGCGCGAGGAAAGGACACCCTTGCTCTCCCAGACTCTCATTGCCCCAAGCCACAGCAGGATGGTTGTCACCGCTGCCACAACCTGGGGACACCAGTCCTGCTGAGCACGGCTGCAACATCTGCAGCAGGGCTAGTGCTGCATCTGTGTCCCCAGCCCAGCTGTCCCTGCACCCCTGGGAACAGCCGGGAGCAGGGATCGCACCTGGGAGCCGGGAGCAGCAGCAGGACAGGCAGCCAAAGCAACACAGTGAATCTCCTCTGCCCTGCCCTTTAATTAGGGGAGCAGGCAGCATGTTGAGAGCAGAGCTTTCTGCTTCGCTTACAGCCACGGGGAGGAGGGGACACCAGTACCACTGTTTCCTAGGAGATTTTCACACACCAGGAAGGAGGAGAAAAATGCAGAAACGCCAGCAAAATTATTACCTCCAGTTTGCACAAAACTATTCGTGAAGCATACAGAGTAAAACTACAGGTGAAGCTATAGCAGCGCACCCTAATGGTGCTTATTTCAGCCCATTCTTCACTGCGTGCATACCAGAAGGAACAAGCGTTATTCAGCCAGGCTAAGAGAGCAGTATCTCTAGATAAAGGGGCTGCTCCAGCACAGACAGACAGTGCTCACACAGCCACAGCCCAGAAGCAGCACCACGTTTAGCCAGCTCAAGAACCGGAGCTACACCAAGGCAGCCCCCCTCTCAACATATGTTTTATTGGGGTAATAAAAGCCAAGCTCAGTAATGGTTGCATTAATAGGAAAAGGTCTCAGCAAGGTGGCTGCACAACCCCAGCCAAGTTTCACTTTATTCGGTCATAACCTGGGCCTGTCTAATAAGGCCCATCTTTAATCACAGAGCCTTGAACTCCGCTGCAGCAGGGAGAGCACACACAACAGCAGAAAACCTTCCAATTATTCATCATCCTTTAATACATTGGCCCAAAACACCTGCTCCTCTCCCCTCATCATCCTGATTGATGCCTTCCCTACCTGGCAGGCCATGGGTCCTGCAGAGGGACAACATCTCCATGAACAAGGAGAGCGGCAAAGAGCCTCCGTAAAACAGAGAGCACCAGCTCCTCCTCCTCACTTCCTCTTTATATTGAGGCTGCCAATTAAATTTATCTCAAAAAACCTGTGTCCTGCCTGGGAGGAGGGTGAGAAGAGGGGATTCCTGCCCACCTGGGGGTGCAGGTGGCTCCGTGGCCACCGCAAGCCCAACTGTGGCCACAGGTGCCCCTGTCCCCCAGGAGCTGCCACCCACATCCATGCCTGGCATTCCCCTCAGGACCGGAGCCTGGCAGTTATCCGGGTGCCTGAATCCATTAAAACTCACAGGGAGCAGTCGGCAGCCCTGTCCCCCCTTTCCATGGCCTTGTCCTCCCCCCACGCTCTCTTTACCACACATATATTTCCCCACAGCACCCTGTCAGGAGAGGACAAGGCAAAGCCATTTGTTTCCAGCCTTGAAATGTAATTGTGTTTTTTATTATTGATTTTAAGGTTGTAAACACCCTGGCTGTGTCTGGTTTTAAATGCTAATGATGATAACAGCGAGAGGAGATGGAGGAGCAGGGCAGGAAATTGAACCATTTTGCAGCTCCCCAAGTCTTTAAGCGACTCCGGCTGCGTAGGGAGGAAGCCCCCGGGAGAACGTGGGGATGATAAACAAGTCATTTGTGCCCGCGGCTTCGGTCGCTCCTCCAGCACTTGCCTCTGTTTCCATGCATGTGGGTTAACTTAAAGCAAAAAAAAAAAAAAGAAAAAGTGAAATTTAACAGGGAGTTGGGGGCCACCGGGGTGTTTGTGTGGACGGGACAGATGCCGCGTGGCAGGTGACGCGGGGCCCGCGCTCCGCGGCGCCTGGTGCCAGCCCCACGTTTCACGGACGTCAGGCTCTGTGCTGTGACCCAAAGCACTCGCTGTGCCGAGCAGCCCCGCGCGAGCGCCAGGGACGCGGGCTGCGCGCTCAGCATATTTATTGATGCACCCAGGCATGCTCTCTAATATTAAGCAGGGTCACGGCTTTTAATTAAACGGAAAAAAAAAACCCTCAAATGTGAATGAGGGAGGTGGGGGGGACCAGGTGACACATCTGGCTTGTACCTTAGGTACCTTTTAAGTACCTTAAAATGCTGGAAGTTCCTGGAGCGACATCTGACAGAGCTGCCTGATTGAATGGGGAGGTTTCTATCCGAGGGTGACAACTGTCGCAGGGGAGGTGCTGGGTCTGGGGACCATTTTGAGTGCTGAATATCGGGGGATTTGACCTTTAAAGAAAGAAAATGCATTTCTTTTTCCGGGGATCATTTTTTTCCCTCTGAATCAGCCTCACCTCCCCATAAGTGCCTGTGTGGAAGGGTCTCCCTGCTGTTAAACCTACAGAAATCCACAGCAAAAGGTGACACCCCGCACACTGGCGGCCCTGAATGCAGAGTCCGTCCTCGAAGGGTTTCAGACGCTGTAACCGTCCTGCAGCAGAAAACCATCTATCCAAACCCCGCTATGGAAAATATCCCCCAAAACACTTTCCTATCTCCAGCCCCAGCACCTTTGTGAGGCGCCTCTTTTGATGGGTGGTTTATACCCCTCGGGTCTCTTATAGGGATGAATGTCTTTTAATTAGACACGAACATTGCTCCCTGGTGGTTACGAGCAGTGACATGCAGATCTTTATTGAGCGAACGATACCCTCTCGCGGGGGTCTTGACGCAGCGAGGCTGCGTCTGCACACAGCAAACCTGCCATCGAGACGCGGCTTTGGGGGCATTTCTCAGCATTTTGCTGCTTCTCCTTCCCCGTGGCAGCAAAACCCTTGGAAATAGGTGTTTCCCTTGGGCAGAGCCAACCAGGGCGGGAGCTGCCCGGCTATAAAACCCAGGCGGAGGCAGCCCCGGAGCCCTCTCCCTGCGGGACACGGACACGCGGCTGTGCCGTCATTCCTGCAGGGAAAAGGCCGTGGGGATGCAGCTTTCCTGGTCCCCTCCGCTGCACTGAGAGCGAAGCAGAATCCCCCTTTCCCCTGCGATTGCCAGCATCGGGGAGAGAGGGGAGCTGCAGCACGAGCGGCTTGGGGCAAAAGGAGGTGCTAAGGACGTCGGGGGACACTTGCACCCATTACATTAAGGGGGGTTCGGACTGAGCAGCCGGGGATGGACTCGGGGTTAGTGAGAGCAGTGTGAGGGACGGGGGGACGAGCCACTCCGGCGGCAGGAGCCACGCGGGGATGTGAGTCCAGGAATGCAGGAGCTGCTCCAGAGCCGCCCAGCACCGCGCTGCACCAGGGGCTACACAGGCGCTGGGATATAGGAGCCCGAGCCCAGTGTCCTGGCCACCTCGGAGCCCTTGGGCTGAGCTTCCCGCCGAGATGGAGCCGGGATGGGGCAGCAATGGCTCCCAGCCCAGCCGCCCCGCGGGCAACGGGAGCCTCCTGTGGAGCCGCGACGAGGCGCTGGCCAGGGCCGAGGTCGGGGTGCTGGCCGCCATCCTGGCCGCGGCCACCGTGGGCAACGCGGCGGTGCTGCTGGCCGTGTACCGCCTGCGCGGCAAGACGAGCCGCGTGCACCTCTTCATCCTGCACCTGGGCCTCACCGACCTGGCCGTGGCGCTCTTCCAGGTGCTGCCGCAGATGGCGTGGGAGGTGACGTTCCGCTTCGCGGGCCCCGACGCGCTGTGCCGCGCCGTCAAGTACCTGCAGGTGCTCAGCATGTTCGCCTCCACCTACGTGCTGCTGGCCATGACGCTGGACCGCTACGCGGCCGTGCGGCACCCGCTGCGCTCGCTGCGGCAGCCCGGCCGCCGCGCCTGCGGCGCCATCGCGGCCGCGTGGCTGCTCAGCGCGCTGCTCAGCCTGCCGCAGCTCTTCATCTTCTCGCTGCGCGAGGTGCGCAGCGGCTCCGGGGTGCTCGACTGCTGGGCCCACTTCGCGGCGCCCTGGGGCGCCCGCGCCTACGTCACCTGGACGGCGCTCTGCGTCTTCGTGCTGCCCGTGGGCGTCCTCGCCGTCTGCTACGGCCTCATCTGCCGCGAGATCTGCAGGAACCTGCAGGGCAAGACGCAGAGCGGCGGCGCGGGCGGCGCGGCGCAGCGGGGCGGCCGCCGCGGCGCCGGGCAGCCCTCGCGCGTCAGCAGCGTCCGCACCATTTCGCGCGCCAAGATCCGCACCGTCAAGATGACGCTGGTCATCGTGCTGGCCTACGTGGCCTGCTGGGCTCCCTTCTTCGGCGTGCAGCTCTGGTCGGTGTGGGGCGAGGACGCGCCGCGTGACGGTGAGTAGGGCCTCCCCAAGGCGCTCCGGCGGCGCGGGCGCCTCTGCCCTTTGGGTTCCCATGCAAACCCCGCGCGCGCCGCCGCTCTTTGTGCCCCGCAGAGTCCTCGGACGCGGCCTTCACCATCGCCATGCTGCTGGGCGGCCTCAGCAGCTGCTGCAACCCCTGGATCTACCTGTGCTTCAGCGGGCACCTGCTGCAGGCGCTGGCGCGCGCCCTGCGCTGCCGCCGCGGCGCCCGCGCCGCCCTCCGCCGCCCGCCCTCCACCGGCAGCCTCTGCAGCCGCAAAACCACCGTGGTGCTGAGCGCCGGCCGCGGCGCGCGCCGCCCCGACGAGGACGCCGACACCGAGGCGGGCACGCTCTAGGCCACCCGTCCTGCCCGCGCGCACTCCGCTCCGAAGCTCCCGCCGCGCTCCCTCTGCCCTGCGGTGCATCGGGTGGAGGGAGGACATCCTGGCCCGCGTTGGGATGCTGCTTCTGGGAAAATTGGGGTTTTAAGGGGCAAATGTTTTGAACTCTGGAAGGGCAGAGATGCCCCGGGAGTGTCCGGCTCCTGCACCCGAGTCCGGGACTGAGTGGGATGGGCTGGAGCGGAGGCTTGGCGCTTCATGGAAAATGCAAAGCAGAGGAGCAGGAAGGGCAAAGCCAGGAGAGAAACCATATTTCAAAGGATTTTTATGGCAGCTGTCAGCAAAGTAGTTAAAAAAATATATATATATATGTGGTTCAAAGGAGACACCTGGCCAGTTCGGATACCTCGACCCACGGTCTGTAGCGGTGCGTTCCCGTGGGATCCCGGGCAGCTCGGACGGGGCAGGTGAGGGGTGACCAGGGACCCCCCTCTCTCCCGGCGCTCACAGTTTCACCTCCGTGTACTCGATGGCCTTGGCGGCTGCGGAGCCGGAGCAGGTCCAGAAATCGGCTTTCTTCTTCTTGGGGTCCACGTTGACGTAGTCGGGCCCCGTCTTCATGTTCTCGTAGTCGGCGGCGGGCGCCGGGAAGCGCAAGGAGCTGTAGTTGAGGCTCCGCTCGGCGCGCGGCGCCTGGGCACAGAGCGGAGGCGTCGGGTGGCCCCGGTCCCCGGCGCTGGCACCGGCACCGCCGCCCACAGCCACCCTCACCCCCCGCACCGAGGGGCCGCTGTCCGAGTCGTCCGACGTCTCCGAGGAGGTGTCGCTGCTCCCTTGGGAACACACGGGCTGTTAGCGCCTCCCTGGCCATGCCTGGGAGAAACCCCCGCGAGGCAGTGGGAAGAAGACACTGGGAGCCAGGAGCAGCAGCAGGAGCAGGATCCTGGTCCTGGTCCCTTCCCGTGCGCAGGTGAAACAGGGGCAAAGCAGCCAAACGAGGCAGGTTCTCCTGCCGGACCCCGCTCGGATTCTCCTGCCGGACCCTGCCCGGGATCTCCCACCGGACCCCCCTCACCCACGTAGGCTGCACTCGGTGCCGCGTCCCCGGCCGGCGCCGCTGCTGCCGCCGGTTCCGTTGCCGTCCCGCCACCAGCCTCGCTGCCACCACGGAGCCGCTCTGCAAGGGACACAGGGGACGTCAGCGCCCGCCAGCACCTCCTGCCAGGGAAGAAGGCTCAGAAGCCACCGACACTTTCAGGCGAGAAGATTCCCGTGATGCAAAATGCGGTTTCAGCCGAATTGATGTTTGGCAACATGAAGCGTTACTTCTGATGATCGCTTTCTGCTTTGCACAACGGAATAAAGGGAAAGTTGGGGGAGTGACGTGGCACTGGCCCGGGCATTGGCTGCGCGCATCGCTTCCGAGTGCCACCACGACCCCTTGTGCTCCCCAAGCACCGATGTGCACGCACCAGCATCGCTGCAGGAACCAGCGCCAGGACTGGGGTGCTGGGATGGAGCCCGGGACACGATGCCGGAGGAGGAGGAGGACGAGGACGAGGAGGTGGAGGAGGAAGGCCGCCCGCACACCACCCCGTTACCTATCCTCCTGCCGAGCATGACGTAGAGCGTGGCCAGGAGCAGCGCGTGCAGGACCAGGGTCACGGCGGAGCTGGCGGCGAGCGCCCACCTGCCCGGCGCGGAGGCACCCGCGTCACCCCGGCGCGGCCGGCGGCGGCTCCGCGCCCGGGCCAGCCCCGCGCGGCGCCAGCACCCACCACGGCGAGCAGTCCATGGCCGATCCCGCTGGGCACGCCGCGCCGGGGCCCACGGAGCTGCGGGGACAGGAGCCGGGGCCGCCGCGTGAGCCGCGGTGCCCCACCACCGTCACGGGAGCCCCGCGCTGGCAATGGGCTCAAATTTGTTCTTTGCATTTTAGTTTTGCTAACATTTATTAAAATGCTTGGCGACTAAAGCAATAAGAAACACACAGAGCAAAGCAGGCAGCAAGTTTGGAGCGGGCTTCCACATTGGCTGCAGTCCAGACGTGTCAGAACTTGAGCTGGCCCTTAGAAATCGGCTGCCTTTGCTCTTTGTTAATCACGATTATCATTAACCGAGCACTAGATGGGCCCCAGCTCATCCCAGCTCTTTGGAGGGATTTTTCAGTGTGCCTGAGCAAACAGCTCACCAAACCCCACTGCAAATCACGCGATCGGGAAGATTTAGCTTCATTTGAGCCCCCTCCTACTCGATTTAAGTAACTGAAATCCCGTTGAAGTTAACAGGCCTTAAGGCACATGCTCAAAAATGCACATGCGGGAAGGGGACGTCTGGCTCGGAGCCCTCGGCCGTGCTAGCCGAGAGAAGCGACTCCCCAGCCGCGTCGCAGGCTGCTCCGTGGGAGCCCCAGCTCACAAAATAGCCCTTCCCGGCACAGCCCAGTGTAACGCGGCGGCCGCGGGGAGGGATTTTGAACCGGAGCTTTGATATCCTGATTAAAGGAGCCTTAATAGTATCTTTGATAGGTAGATAGCTAGATAACAAGAGCAGGGACATTACCCAGCCTGTGGATCAGATTATAGGCGCTCCCCTCTGACAGCTCGCTAAGCGCGGTTCATCAAAGGCTTTGCGGATAATCCCAGCGCTCTCCTGCGAAATTCCACTCACCCAGACAGCCTGGCTGCTGCCAGGCTGCACATCCACGTCCCGCTGGAGCCTTTCCCCTCCCTTGCTGCTCCGACAATCCCCAAATGTGCTCCTTAGGCGGCTGCCCCTCGCGCGCGGCTCGTTTCCTCCCGCGGCGCTGGAGATGCTGCAGCAGCAGATGCCTATCAGGGCGCGAGCGGCGCGAAAGGAAATTGCAAAATAAGACCCGTATCCAGCTATCGGTGGCAGGCGGCTTTGCTCTAGGGGGGCTAGGGCGAGATCGGGGAGATTACGCACACGTGTGCGTGGAGGTTTCTGCTCGGATGGTGCCAGCTAGAGCGGGGCTGCCAGCGCGCGCACCGGCCCCTTCGGGGGTCCCAGGACACCGGCCTGCTCTCCGGCAGTTTTCCTGGACGGATCAGAGCTCCGGGGAGCTCCGTCTTGGCCCAGTGTTGGACTGCAAAGTTGAAGAGGGTGCACGCGATGCCCAGGGAAGCGGCTGGGCCGGTGCTGATCCCGCCGGGCTCTGGCCTCCCTGCGCCCACTGGACGCAGCGCCCCGGTTGGGGTTTTGCCAGGGTTTTTACCTGGGAAAAGGCAGGTTTTGTTTTGCTTTCCTTGCAAACTCGGATGTTCTCGTGGGCTCCTCGGCCACCCCTTCCTGCCGGACACGGCGCGGCCGCCAGCGGGCTGGAGCAAAGGAAGGAACACGGCAGCTCAAACGGGAAAACCAGGTAAAAACCAGCTAAATATGGATAAAAAGGCTAAATTGGGTTAAAACCCAGCCAAATAGGGAAAAAATGAGCCAAACTGGGTAAAAGGAACCCCAACAAATTAGAGTAAAGAGAAACGAGCCAAATAGGGTAAAATCTGTGGTGCTTCAGGGGCGGAAACGCGCGGGAAGGAGGGGCCGGAGCAAGCGGAGCACTGCGGAACCCAGGGTCCCGAATGGGTTCCCCCATGCTGCCCATTGGAAAGGGCCCCTCCAAAGCCTTTCCCTGGAAAGGTGGAAAATGCTGCTGGAAAAACAACCATCAAAGGCCCCATCAGCTTGCGAGCGGGGGAGGCCTTTGTCGCTTCTTGGTACTTCTGGTCCCAAAGCACCACCCGGATCAGGACCGGTCTTTGCGCACGGATACTGCAGAGGATTCGTTTTCAGAGCAAACCCACGTGCTCAGTGCGACCCTGCCGGCTCCAGGGTGATCATTCCCGGGCATCTCCAGCAATATCCCACGTATCTGGCACAGCATCCAGCTGGTGCAAGTCGGCAAAGCCAGGATTGCAGCAGTATCTTGGATGGACACCGTGCCCGGCACCTGTGGGCATCCCAATAAACACAGCAATGAGTAAATAAATAAATTCCAAAGCAATGCAAAGCCCAGCCTGGTGCCTCTGTTTTCATGGGAGATGCAGGTGCTGGCTATTTTTAACCTTATTTATATATTTATTTGTTTGTAAGTGGCTCTCTGCCCTCACTGAGCTCTGCTCTGTGCAACGCTCGGGGCGCGTAAGCAGATCTGCAGATTAGAGATGTGCGCGATAAGCGGGGGGGAAAAGAGATTTTTCTGCTCTGTAAATGCCACTCGGGTGCGATTTGAATCTGTCCTGGCTAATAGTGAAAGTGGCTAAACTAGAGGAAATGCAAAAAAAAAAAAAAAAAAACCCAAAAAGAAAACAAGCGAGAGAACATGTTTTTGGCCCGAGAGCAGGTTTGTGACAGGCGCGAGGCTCCATATGGGGCAGGGGACACATGCGGTCCCACGCGAAGGGCCCAGCCAAGCCTCTGCAGGCAGCCGCACGCTCCAACGCCGCCGTATCCCGTGCATCATCCCCGCGGAAGCGCCGGTGTCCACACACAGCCTCCCGCAGGGCCCTGCGGCCCGTGTTCCGCCGCGGGACCCGCTCCCGCGCGGCCCCTCTCCCAGCGCGTGGCCCACGGCCGCTTTCCAGCCTCGGCCGCCCCTGTCGGCGCGGCGCGGCCGGGTGCCCGGCCCCGTGGGCGCTATCGCACCGGGCGATAACGTTATCGCGCCGGCACAAAACCCACCCGGGGGCGGTTGCTCCGCGCGCCGCCCGGCCCCGTACGCGCCCGCTGATTCATGCCCATGAAAGGCGCCCGTGTTGACACTGCGCGGGGCGCAGCGGGGCCGCCGCGGCTATAAGAGCTTGGCGGGCGCGCGGCGCCGGGCCGGCCGCCGCCATGCGCCGCCGCCTGCTGCTGCTGGCGCTGCTCTGCGTGCCGCTCGCCGCCGGCCTCTCGCGGTAAGGGCGCCGATCCCCGCGCTGCCCGTCCCGGGAAGCCGCCCGGGAAGCGGGAGGCGCCGGCGCCACGGAGCCTCCTCGCGCAGGGTGGCCCTGGTGCGGCGGCGCTCGCTGCGGCGCGCGCTGCGCCAGCGCGGCCAGCTCCAGCACTTCTGGAGGGCGCACGGGCTCGACATGGAGCGCTACAGCGAGGAGTGCAGCGCCTTCCAGCGGGCCAGCGAGCCCCTCATCAACTACCTGGACGTAAGTGGCGAGAGGAGCTTTCGCGGGAGCCGCGGGGCTCCCCTGCCTTGGCGCTTCCCGCAATCTCCAGGCAAGGGAGCAAACGCTGCACCGGCGTCTCTGGCCCCAGCGGCGCTGACGGCGCCTCCGGCCCGCTCTAGATGCAGTATTTCGGGCGGATCTCCATCGGGAGCCCCCCGCAGAACTTCACCGTCATCTTCGACACGGGCTCCTCCAACCTCTGGGTGCCCTCCATGTACTGCGTGAGCCCGGCCTGCGGTGAGCGCGCGGGAGCGAGCCAAGGGAAAGCCCGGCAGGATCACAGGGCTGTGCTGGGCGGCCTCCGACACGGCCGCGGGGCCCGCGCGGCCTTGGGGACACGGCTGCACGGGGACATAGTGCGGGGAGGGCTGCGCGGGAGCCGGGAAAACGGGAAAATGGGAAAACGGGAAAATGGGAAAATGCCAGGACTACAGCGGGAGCTGGGAAAATGGGAAAATGGGAAACCGGGAAAACAGGAAAACGCCGGGGCTGCAGTGGGAGCCGGTGCGCGACAGCGCCCGCGCTCCCGCAGAGGCGCACCCGCGCTTCCAGCCCGCCAAGTCCCGCACCTACGAGCTCGTGGGCACCCCCTTCTCCATCCAGTACGGCACCGGCAGCCTCACCGGCGTCATCGGCTCCGACCAAGTCACCGTGAGTGGCGGCGGCGCCGCGGCACCCACGGCCGCGTGGCCCCCAGGGCGCCCAGCGGCCCCTTCCCGCCGCAGGTCGAGGGTCTCACCGTGGCCAGCCAGGGCTTCGCCGAGAGCGTCAGCGAGCCCGGCAAGACCTTCCTGGACGCTGCCTTTGACGGCATCCTGGGGCTGGCCTACCCCGCGCTGGCCGTGGACGGCGTCACCCCCGTCTTCGACAACATGATGGCGCAGAACCTGGTGGAGCTGCCCATGTTCTCCATCTACATGAGCTCGTGAGGACGAGGCCCCGACCTCCCTCTTTTTGGGGGCAACACATGGATATTTGGCCTGGAGAGCGAGTGGGATCTGGGTGGCTTTCGCAGTGGCTCTCCTAGCACCAGAGGGGTGCAGCTGGGGACCCCAGGGCGCGCGGGAAGCCCGTGGGGACGAATCCCACCATGTGGGGAGCGCTGCGGAACGTGGACACCCCATTCCCGCCCTTCCCCCAGGAACCCCGATGCCGCTGAGGGAGGCGAGCTGCTTTTCGGGGGCTTCGACCCGTCCCGCTTCGTGGGCACGCTGCAGTGGGTGCCGGTCACCCGGCAGGGCTACTGGCAGATCCAGGTGGACGCGTGAGTGGCGCCGGGCGCGGGAGGGCTCTGCCGCGCGCTCCCCACGGCCCTTCCCTGCCCGCGCTCCCTGTCCCGCAGCATCCAGGTGGGCGCGACGGTGGCGTTCTGCGCCAGCGGCTGCCAGGCCATCGTGGACACCGGCACGTCGCTGCTCACCGGGCCCAGCGAGGACATCAAGGAGATGCAGAAATACATCGGGGCCGTGCCCATGGAGGGGGAGGTGAGAGTGGGGCCCACGGACATCCCACCAAGGGCACCATGACCAGCCCCAGTGAGAGGGACCTGCCCCAGCAGGGTCGGGCTTGCACGGGCTCCTCACGAGCCCATTGCCCTTCCACGTCCAGCGCTCTCTTCCCCCATGCTGAATTCCCCTCTTTCCTGGACGCCAGGGAAGGGCCGTTTCCCCCCAGCTTTGCCCCTGTCTCGCAGTTCGCCGTGGACTGCAGCACCATGAGCTCCATGCCCGACGTCACCTTCATCATCAACGGCGTCGCCTACTCGCTCAGCGCCCAGGACTACCTGCTCATGGTAAGAGCCACGGGCAACGCGCTCCTCCGACGGGGAACCTCCGCCCCGGCATCCTTGGTGGTTCCAGGGGCGACAATTGGCTCCTCACCCTCCTCGTCCCCTTAGGAATACAGCGGGAGTGTGGCCGTCTGCATCAGCGGCTTCCAGGGGCTGGACATGGCCCCTCCGACGGGCCCGCTCTGGATCCTGGGCGACGTCTTCATCCGGAGGTTTTACACCGTCTTCGACCGCGGCAACAACCGGGTGGGCTTCGCGCCCGCCGTGCCCTAGGTCGGGCGCGGAGGGAGTGGAGCCGCCGCGGTGCCTTGGACGAGCCGCGCTGGCCGAGCCTTGGACACGTCACCTCCCTGCCCGCCGGGAGGGCACGGAGCGACGGGAGCGCACCGGGAACGCGGCCCTGCCCGGAGCTGGGCACAGCTAGGGCTCGGGCAGCTTCGCACAAGCTGCCTCGGAGCTTCCTGCTCTTTTTCTCAACACGGGCCAATAAAGTCTCCCATGAAACAGCACGTCCATGGCAGCCAGGGCGCGGGATCCACCCAGCTCCAGGAGTCGGGATCCCAGCAGGCCGCCAAGCCCGGCGGCTCCCGCGGCCCCTCCGTGCACTGACCTCCCTCGTGCTCCATCCAGCGCTCTGTCCAACCCAGAGCGGACCCGGCTCCGCAGCCGGCGGGACCAGGCCCCGCTCCGGATCCAGCGAGTTAAGGGGTGCTGGGCGAGGAGGCGCAGGCACCGCTCTGCAGCCACCAGCCGCTTCCCGTTTCCCTCCGGGATGCCGCGCGGCACTTCCTGCTCCATGAACGGGGTCCTGGACTACGTCTCGTGGCCAGCCCGGGCGTTGCGAGAGCTCCGCGCTGTCTCATAGTCACAGTCACGTAGGCAAAGCCACGCTTTGTGCCCAGAACTGCTGACGGGGGTTAGGCTGTCACGAGGGGACGGTGACAGCGTCTGGGTGCTGCCCACGCGCCGTCACATCCCTGGAGCGGTGCCACATCCCTGGAGCGGTGACCATCACCTGCTCTGAACAGGGCCAAGGTCCAGGACGTCCCCAAGTCACTGCAACGGGGTGAGCGCATCCCCCTGCGCAGCCCGGCACCGGCACCATTCATCCCTATGGAAAAGCCTGGGCCGGGTCCCCCCACTCCTAGCCTGGCCTCGTGTGCCCCAGCGCGGGAACCACCGGCATCGCGGGAACCACCGGCATCGCGGGAACCACCGGCATCGCGGGAACCACCGGCATCGCGGGAACCACCGGCCACACAAGGCACCTCTATCCCCACCGCCGCTATCAGCCCCGTCTGAGCAAAGTCCGGGGTGGGTCTTTGCAAGCCCAGGTGATGCTGCGATAGCCCCGATGGGCTTTTTGTTCCCAGCCCTCCATAATCTGTGGAGGCAGCAGCAGATAAGGAGCTCCTGGGGGCAGGTAAACAGGACCTGAGGGAGGTGGAGGCTCAAACCACATCCCGGGATCCCCGGGGAAGGAGCAGCTCCTGCAGCCTCCCTGTACCAGCCCGCTCCGTGCCCGGATCCGAGCGTGGCTGTCTCCGCCGGAAGGCCGGATCCGGAGGAAGCGCTGGGCACAGCCCAGCAGCTCCCCGGGGCCTCGTTCCTGCGGGATCGGGCGCTGGCGGCCGCTTTCCGCTGATGTCAGCGAGCTCGATCCCGCGGCCCGAGGCATCATCGTGCCGGGGGCGGCCGCCGCTTCCTGGATCCTCCTCCCGGGCTCTTCCCGGCCGGGGCCGCAGGCTCCGGAGGCGGCAGCCGCTGCTCCCGCTCCGGCACCGCAGCAGGTGGGTGCGACAGGGGGAGCAGGGAGGCAGTCGGGCCGGAAAACTCCACATGGAGCTTAAAACTCCAACGGTCTGCAAAGGCCCTGTGGGGGTGGAAAAACGCCCCGAGAGCTTTTCCTCCGGGAAATGCTGGGATTTAGGGCGTGGGTGCCGTCCTGAGCCGGGGGGAGCAGGAAAGCTGGACTGCTCCGGTTGGGGGGAGCGGGAAGAGGCCGCGGGAGGAGCATCCAGCAGGCGGGTTGTCCCTGCACGGCACACCCGGAAAAATGCAGGGATGAGGCTGCCTGTGCCACCTCGCTGTGCTGCCGGCCCCTTCCCTGTGTGCGGGGCCCTGCCTGGGAACGGGGCTGCCGGAGGCTGGATGCGCTGCCAGCCCCGAGGATCTTCCCGGGCTGCGCGGGAGCCGGGGGCTGCTCATCCGGGTGCATGGAGCACCGCTCCATCCCGGTGCTCCAGCCTCAACCGGGACCTTGCAAACTAATGCTCCGCCGGGAGCTTTTCCCAGCCAGGCTGATGAGGGGGAGAGCACGGGGTGGGTTTTCTCCTGTTTGAGCGCCCTGCAGATGGACAGGGGTCTCCTCCTTGGCTGTCAGGCTGGAGCAAACTCTTCGCCTTGTGCAGAACTTATTAGCTGAGCCAGAAAGCGTTGCTGCCCATCCGCATTTTGGGGGAAAAGGAGCAAAGACTGGAGCAAAGACTGGAGCAAGTGCTCGCAGGCGCCTCGGCAAGCCCAGCCCCGCTCGGCTGCTCCTGCCGCCAGCCCAAGTATTTCCAGTTGTGCAGCCCCGGCAGCCCCTGCGTGCCCGGACGTGCGCAGGAGCCGGCGTGGAGCAGGCGCCGTGAGCGGCACCGGCCCCGCGTCCCGCGGCCGAGCAGGGCCCTGCAGCCCCGGGACCCCCTTCTCTGCCCCCAGGGCCCTCCCATGGACTCCAGCAAGAAGGTGGACCTGAAGATCATCATCATAGGAGCGCTGGGGTAAGAGCCTGCCAGGGCAGCCCTGCAGCCGCTCGTGGCTCCCGTGGGGCCTTCCCGAGCTGGGCTCGGAGCAAAGGGATCTCTAAGCAGTGCAAAATCCCCCTGCCCAAAGCAGGGTGCTCCTGTTGCTCGGAGGTCATTGGGACCCTCTGGGGCCGTGCACGAGGGCTGCAGCACTGCAGTGCCCAGGGCTGAAGGCGGCGGGTGCAGCGGGGCCAGGGCAGGCTGGTGGCACCGCAGGGCGCTGCTGGGGACATTGCCTGGGGCTGGCGCTGGCGGAGCAGCGCGTGGCCGCGCAGAGCCCTGCACCGTCCTCACCCTGTCCCCTGCCTGCCGCCAGCGTGGGCAAGACCTCCCTCCTGCACCAGTACGTGCACAAGACCTTCTGTGAGGACTACCGCACCACGCTGGGCGCCAGCATCCTCACCAAGGTCATCGCCGTGGACAGCACCCCGCTGAAGCTGCAGGTGAGGCTCGGGGCGCCAGCAGCCGCCCTGGGCCGTGTCCCGGCTCCCACGGACCCCCCGGCCCCAAACCCGCCGTGAGATTCCCGCAGCATCCTCGGGCGCTGCAGCTGTGCCCTTCTCTGCCCTAGATCTGGGACACGGGGGGCCAGGAGCGGTTCCGGTCCATGGTGTCCACCTTCTACAAGGGCTCGGACGGCTGCATGCTGGCTTTCGACGTGACTGACAGGGAGTCCTTCGAGGCACTGGAGAACTGGAGGGATGACTTCCTGGAGAAGGTCATTCCCAGGGAGCTGGGCTTCCCCATGGTCGTGCTGGGGAACAAAATAGACATCTGCGACCGGCAGGTAAGGACGGGCCGAGACCTGCGCGAGTCCAAACGGGGCGGCTCCCGGGAGCTCGGGCACTTATTATCCAAGCCTGAAAGCCAAGGGCGTCCCCACCGACAGGAACGGGGCATCCTGGATCCCAGCTCACATTGCCTTTCCCGCAGGTGTCCGAGGAGCTCGCCTCGGCCTGGTGCAAGGACAAGGACATCCCCTACTTCGAAGTGAGCGCCAAGAACGGCATCAACGTGGCACAGGCTTTCGAGACGCTGGCCAAGCAGGCGCTGCTCACGGTGAGCGGACTGGGCTGGGTGCCCGGCCGAGCTTCCCAGCGCTCCCAGAGCTGCAGGTTTTGGAATGAGGAGCTGGGAAGCAGGATGCAGGGGACACGGGGTGAGCTGCGTGCCAGCACTGGCCTCTAGTGGCAGCCGCCCGGCCCCGGGCCACCAATGTCCCCATGTCCCGGTGCCTCCTCCCGGCTTGGCTCCATCCAGGCTCAGCGGCTCCTGCCTCCGGCTGGGCTCAGCATTGGGGCTGTCCTTGGAGAGATGGGGCTTAGGACGGGGCTGCTCCGTGCCAGCCTCGCTCATCCCAGCCCTTGTCCTCTTTTCCAGCAAAAAGGGATTCTTGAGAGTTATCTAACGGGCTCCATCAAGCTCAGTCCCAGCGATGAGCCCAAGAAGAGCTGCTGCTGAGCCCGAGGGGCTGCGGCGAGCGGAGCCCCTGCACGGGCGGCGATGCCGGAGCATCCCGGGCCCACGAGCATCCCAGCTCCGGTGGCTTGCCGGTGCACGGAGCTGCTCTCCCACAGCCTGGCAGCCCCTCGGCCGTGCCGGGCTCCCCGTGCACGGAGCAGGCGCCGCCTCGCGCTGCAGTGACGGTGCTGGGAGCCACCACGGGGACCAGGGCCGCGCAGGGGACCCCGGTGCTGGTGCAGACCTTCCCTGCACCCGGGCCAGCACCTGCCTCTGCTTCCTTGCACCCCCAAGCCCCCGGGGTGCACTCAACCCCAGCCTAACGGGTGGGATGTTCTGCCATGCACTTTGCAGGGACTCTCCTTTATTAAAAAAAAAAATACTAATAAACACTTCCTTTTTGTATATATAAATGTGTGTGTGTTGCAGAGCGTTGCCGCAGCCCGGGGCGGCGCTGGGGCTTCCCTCGTGTCGGCAGAGGGAGCAGCGGCGGCAGCACCGCGCTGAGCGTCGCCCTGCACGGGAGCCTCGGCCGCCGTCCTGCCCCGCCGTCCTGCCCGCCAACCCGCATCACTGACCTCATAGGGAGCCGGAGACACTGGGACGTGCTCAGGGCATCGTTCCCAAGTGGATGGGAGGTCTGGGAGTGCAGCCGTGTGCCCCAGCCCTGCGGATGTGCAGCCAGAGCCCATGGAGCTGCCCATGGACCTCGTGCACCGGGAGGCTCCTCTTCCTCAATCCCCCGGGATCCCCAGCAGCGCTGGGAGCACCTGGAGCCCTCCAGGAGGAGCAGGAGCCTCCCGGGTGGCGCCGGGCCAGGCAGGATGCTGGCAGGAGCACCCAGCGGGGCTGGGCAGGTAATGCGACCGGGGCTGCTCCACGATAAAGGACGGGGCAGGTTTGCAATGCGCCAGATTAGCAAGGTCAGCCCCGGGTTTTCTCAGGGTGAGAATCAAAGGGGAAAATATTTGCCTTGGGTGACTCAGGGAGCTGCAAAGCCGCCGGCGGCACCAGCGCGCGCCGGCCAAGGCGCCGCTCGCGGAGGCCACTGAGAAACTCAACCCGG